TGGGGTTGGCTGATCCCCGTCTAGAGTGCTGCGCTGTGCTGACAAACAGCTGATCAGCACAGCGCGGCGGCCATTTTGATTTAAATGAAGCGGTGATTATTTAAATTGTCACTTCGTTTCCCTTTGTCAAGTAAACTAATCTACATGGCTCCGTCGACAGAGCCATGTAGTCTAGACGTACCCTAGGAGAGGAGAAGGAGAGGGTCCTGGGAAGAAAGAGAAATAGTTTATATACCGCCCAAACTCTACTTGTATTTAAAAAAAAAAGAGTTAACCTGTGGAACTCACTGATATGATAGTCTATTAAGGTAAAAGTTTTTTCAGAACATTAGATTTCATATGAGTAATAGCACTTGCACAAGGTGGAATACAAATTAGAAGGAATTAGAAGGAATCTCACCTCCATGCTTCAGTAGGGTTGCTAGATGGTTTCAACAAAAATACCAGACACACTTGACATTACAGAACAATCTATATTACATCTTATTTAGAAAATACCGGACATTTATATTTTCTTAATTTGTTTCCTGAACAGAAAGCTCAAATACCAGATTGTCCAGTTCAAAATTGGACACCTGGCAACCCTATGCTTCAGTATATTGTGGGATGAGGTCAAGAACATACACTCACCCCACACTTGCCACTGAACACAGTATTATAACATTAGGTTGCATTATAGATAGGGCAGTGGATTAATTGTGTTTTATTTGTGATTTACTCAAAAAGTATTTGTGATTTAAAATATTAACTAGGGGGAGGTGTGCCCTGCTCGCTATACTTGCTGACTGGCTCACCTCCCCCCACCGGGGAGGGCCAAGTCGAGATGTAGCAGCCCTGGCCTGTCCCGGCTCTCCCCCTCTGGCCACTGATGGGAGGGGGTGGCCCCAGGCTACAGTTGTCCCAGCCCTCTGCCTCCGGCTGCTGGGGGGCGGTATTGGGCCGGACTGAGGCTGGCCCAGATCTTTCCCTTCTGGCTGCCAGGGGATTGGCCTGACCCTCTCCCTCTGGCCATAAGGAGGAGGCCACGTGATTCTGACCCCTCGCCAGCAAGGCTGTGTGGCTCCCATGTGCCCCCTCCCCCTGGACCACTGGCCTTGCCACAAATGTCCTGCGCGCCCTCTCCTCTGCCAAACTCCCACCTCTCCCCACCAGAGCCCTTGCGGCTCCTTCATGCCCTCTCCCCTACCTGTGCCCCCACAAGGCTGTGTGACTCCCGCATGCCCCCTCCCACTCAAGCCTTTGCACGCACCCCCCTGCATCCGAGTCCCCAAGAGATCATGTAACCACAATGATTAGGGGGCTGGAGTGCATAACCTATGAGGAGAAACTGAGGGATTTGGGTTTGTTTAGTCTGCAGAAGAGAAGAGTGAGGGGGGATTTGATAGCAGCCTTCAACTTCCTGAAGGGAGGTTCCAAAAAGGATGGAGAGAGGCTGTTCTCAGTAGTGACAGATGGCAGAACAAGGAGCAATGGTCTCAAGCTACAGTGGGGGAGGTCTAGGTGGGATATTAGGAAAAACGATTTCACTAGGAGGGTGGTGAAGCACTGGAATGGGTTACCTAGGGAGGTGGTGGAATCTCCATTCCTAGAGGTTTTTAAGTCTTGGCTTGACAAAGCCTTGGCTGGGTTGATTTAGTTGGGATTGGTCCTGCCTTGGGCAGGGGGCTGGACTCAATGATCTCCTGAGGTCTCTTCCAGCTCTATGATTCTATGCAGCTCCCGTGCGTCCCCGGCTCCCGCCCTGAACATCAGAGGATCCGTGCAGTTCAATTTAAATTCCAGCAGCCAGCCACCCACATGGCAGCTGCCGGGGGATTGCTCAGGGGCCAACGACATGTGGGGGAGGGATCACCACAGGCCTGTGCAGGGCAAAGCGATAGGGGATCATGGCAGGGGAGGAGGACAAAGTAGGGCAGCTGCGCAGCCTCTCCCCGGAGCACTGGGGAGAGGGGAAGCTGCATGACCCAGGAGCTATGTGTCTCACGTCTCCCTCTGCCCCAGCCCTTGCCAGGGCAGGTCAGAGCATTGGGGAAGACTGCAAGGCTCCCGGCTTCCACGGACCATGGGCAAGAGGGAGGCCACGCAGCTGAGGGTGGAAGGAGGGGCTGTGGGATGCAGAATGATGCATGAGGTAACTCTGTTCTCCCACTGGAAAAACCTTTTTAAATCATAGTACGATTGTGGTTGATCTTACTGTTAAATGCTAGAATGTCAATGGACATTTATTAAATATTTTAGATATTTTTCCACATTTTCAAATATACTGATTTCTATTGCAACACCAAATACAAAGTGTACAGTGCTCACTTTGTATTATTTGTATTACAAATATTTGCATCATAAAATGATAAACAAAAGAAATGGTATTTTCAATTCACTTAATACAAGTACTGTAGAGCAATCTCTTTATTGTAAAAAAGATTTATTAAATATTTTAGATATTTTTCCACATTTTCAAATATACTGATTTCTATTGCAACACCAAATACAAAGTGTACAGTGCTCACTTTGTATTATTTGTATTACAAATATTTGCATCATAAAATGATAAACAAAAGAAATGGTATTTTCAATTCACTTAATACAAGTACTGTAGAGCAATCTCTTTATTGTAAAAAAGAAGTCCAGCCC